TCATTTCGGTGTGGGTGCATTCATATGTAAATCAGGCTGTACATTTAAGATTTGTAAACTTCTTATTTGTAAACTGAAAGGGGGTTCGTGTGCCCTTTCGGGTGCCCCTTCCCAATTAGGCCACTCACGCACCGAGAGGCCTGGCCCGGCAGGAGATCTTTATTGTAGGGAGGCGAGCAGGAGGCAGGAAGGCAGAGAGAGAGAGAGAGAGAGAGAGGAGGAAGAAGAAGCAGAAGGAGAGAGAGAACAAAGAAAGGAAGGTCCTTTTATCAGTTTTGGGGTGGGCTATTGCTTATTTATGAGGAGTGAGTTACTTTTAACCTATCACAGGCCAGATTGCTTTTATGGGCCCAGTCCTGCAGACACAGGTTTCAACTTTCCTGGACCACTGTGGCCTTGGGGGAGAGGGAAACCAGAGATAAGGGCATGAGATCATTTTAGGAGCCAAGATGTACCAGGAGAATGCAGCCTGTGAGGCAGCGTCACAGCATACTTTAACATGATCAATCCCCTAACATAAACTATATTTCAGTAAACACAAAAAAATTTTAATAAACAAGTAATGAAGTAATCCTCACAGGGAAAAATAATGACTGCTTGGCCAGGTAGCCTAATCCTAACACTAAAGATTGGTGTTTGATGTCTGTTTTGTTTATACAGAAGGTGACCACCATAATCTCTCAGTACTTAAAACCTCTAAAAAGTCAGACGTGGTGGTGCACACCTGTAATCCTACCACCTGGAGGCTCAAGCAGGAGGATCACTGTGAGTTCAATGCCAGTTTGGGCTACATCTCCAGACTTTCAAAAACAAACAAAAAACTCTAAAAGTCTTGATTTGGCCAAGTGGAACTTTCACTAAATTCTAGCAATTAGTAGTGTTAGGACTATAGTATAGTTTTGGGTGTTTTGCTTTGTTTTGTTTGTTTGTTTGTTTGTTTGTTTTTTGGTGTGTTTTATGTTTTGTTTTTTGGCAGTACTGAGGATTGAACCCACGGGCCTTCATACTGAGGTAGGTCTTCAGCTCTTCTTTTATTTCTTTTATTTTTTTTAAATTTTGAGCCTGGGTCTCAATAAGTCACTAAAATCCTAGTCTGGGCTCTAATTTGTGATCCTCCTGCCTTGGCCTCCCAAAGTGCTGGGATTGCAGATATGCACCACCATGCCCAGCTACGACTGTTTCTATTGGAAACAAAAACAAAAAGCTTGCCTTAAGGAACTTGCGCTTCTAAAATTTTCATTTATTTTTACTGAGGGAATAATAATGGTGTTAGCCCTTTTCATTTATACACTGACTCATTTATCCGTCCTATACATTTTTGTTTGTGCCCCTGGGCTGCATCCCCGTCCCTGTTCATTTGTTGAAACAAGGCCTTGCTGTGTTGCCCAGGCTGGCCTCCAATTTGTAATCCTCCTGCCTCAGCCTCTCAAGTAGCTCAGATTATAGACACAGGCTGCCATGCCAGGCATATTCCGTGTAATCCATCTTGTTGAACACCATCTTGTTGACCCTGAGCTCCACAGCGTGCATCTAAAATGTAGCAAATACCATTCCTGTTCCTGGATCTCTTTCCATGTGCTCGTTTCTCTCTAGTTGTTCAAATCTGTTCAAGTGTCCCTTCCGTAGCAAGGCTTTCCCCGACCAGGCAGCCCAACGTCCCCTAACACTGGGGACCTGCACAGTGCAAGGTCCTGGCCAAAATTAAATCTTTCAACAGCTTTCTAATCCATTTGCTTCTCTCTGGACCATCTCCTTCCTTCACTTAGTTATCTTTCACTTACAATTCTAAAGCCTCCTCTCTTCCCGCTCACCAGAGTGCTCTAATAAACATTTCCTTTTTTTCATCATTCGGTCTCTTCAAGTGGTTTCACCGCTCTCCACCCATCCCAGTGATCCTACCTTATCTTCAATAACTTCTGGTTAAAAGACACCAGATACCATCTCAGATGCTAAATCAGTGGACAAAAGCTTAATGAGAAACAGGAAATTGCATAGATTCAAAGTACTCCCCCTTTAAAAAATAAAAACATCCCCCTTATCTGCTGGAGGCTTTGTTCCAAGATGACCAGGGTACCTGAAACTTCAGGTCAGGGCAAGCCCTGTGCATACATTTACACTCATGTCCACAGGGAACTGGCCCCAGGGGTCCCCATGGATACTGAAATCTGCAGACGCTCAGTTCCTTATATAAAATGGTGTAATACTGGGTATAAACTATGCACATTATCTTGTCTGCTTCAAATCATATCTAGATTACTTATAATACTTAATACAGTGTGAGTGCTATGTTAGTTGTTATACTGTACTGTTTAGGGAATCATGATGAGAAAAGTGCGTGTGTCCAGTACAAATACAGTTTTTTTTTTTTCAACTACTTCCAATCAGCAGGTGATTAAATGCACAGATGCGGAATCTACAGATGCAGAATTCACAGGGACAGAGGGACAACTGTGATCCCGTATCCGGTGCATACGCACCCATGATAAATTTTTTTATAAATTAGGTGCAGTAAGAGATTAACAATAACTACTAATAAAATAATTATAACAACATACTGTAATAAAAGTCACTTTAAATTATAACCTGTTTATTTCTGGAATTTCCCATTTGGCATTTTCAGACCACGGCTGCAGGTAAGAAGGAATCGCTGTGTCTCCCACAGTTATACGTGGGAAAGGAAGAAGTCTGACAGATACCAGCTTGATCATGTGATCAGGATGATCATCACCGACAACACACCGAGACCATGTGCCCCGGTGACATTCACTAGGCAGGATTTGATGTCATTTGCCAGAGTTTTAACCCGAGAGGTCCTCAAGGGCCTGTGAGTTGCTATATTGGTCCCATCTTGTCACTGATGGGAGCTGGTGGAAACCTTCAAGAGGTGGAACCTATCAGGGGTCTCCAGGCCCTTGGTAGGCAGAGCAGGACCTGAGCCTGTTCTGCTGTCTCTTTTGTGTCTCAGTCAGGAGGTGAGCAGTTTGCTGTACCCTGTGCTCCCACCATGATGTGCTGCCCACTACAGGCTTAGAGCAGCAGGGCCAGCCAACCATGGACTGAAACCTCCCAAACCATGAGCCACAATAAATTTCTTAATTGATTATTCCCAAGCATGAGTTATCATAACAAAGCTGTCATACCACTTCTGTGGTGCTCCCACCAAACATTCATACCATAACTCTCAATCATGGAGAAACATTAGGCAAGTCCACATTGTTTTGTTTTGCTTTATATAAAATAATTGTGCTCTTCAAAAATTTTGAAGAAAGCCAGGCATAGAGATGCGCACCTGTACTCCTGGCCACTCAGGAGGCTGAATAGGAGTCCAGGAGTTTGAGTCCAACCTGGCCAACACAATGAGCTCCTACTTCAAAATATAAAATGAAGGTCATGAAAGGCTAAGATCTTGTTCCACATCGATAGAGATGAAAGAGACATAACAACTGGACACAACATCCCATTCTAGATTGTATCGTAGACCAGTAAAACTTTTTGGGGGAAAGGAGGTATTGAGTCAGGGTCTCAATATGTAGTTCAGGCAGGCCTTGAAACTCACAGTGATCCTCCTGCCTCAGCTTCCCAAGTGCTAGAACTACAGGTGTGCGCCACCTGGCTTAAAACCACACACACACACACACACACACACACACACACACACACACACACACAGTGGGACAATTGGAAAATTTTGAATAAACTCTGAAGATTAGATAGATAATAGTGTTTTATATATATATTTCCAGAATTTGATATGCAAGAAAATGTCTTTCAACTCTGATAACATAGCTCTAATCCCAGCACTCTGGAAGACTGAGAAAGGACAATTGCCAAATTCAAGCCCAGCCTGAACAATTTAGTAACCTCGTGAGACCTCGTCTCAAAATTTTGAAAATTTTTAAGAGGCCAGGGGCTGGGCACGGTGGCGCACACCTCTAATCCCAGCACTCAGGAGGCTGAGGCAGGAAGACTAACTGGAGTTTGTGGCCAACCTAGGCTACATAGGTAGTTCAAGGCCAGCCTGAACTACATGGCAAGACGTTAAAAAAAAAAAAAAAAAAAAAAAAAAAAAACCTAGAGAAGAAATAGCTCAGTGCAAAGACCCTGAGTTCAATCCCCAGTACAAAAGGAGGAGGAGAGGAGAAAGAAAAGGAAAAAGAAATGAAAGGAAGGGAGAGAAAATGTGAAGGGTTTCTGTTTTACTTTTTTAGTAAATAGTGAGTAAAAACTCACTATGTAACCCCAGATGGCCTCTAATTCAAGGCAATCCTCCTGCCTCAGCTTCCCAGAGTGCTGGCACTACAGGCATGCACCACCACACTCAGCTTGCACTATTCAACTTTTCTGTGGGTTTGAAAGTTTCAAAATGAGAATTTGGAAAATATAGAAATATATAAAATATTAAGGATGCTAAATTTTAAAATTGTACATCATTTGGAAAAATCTCATCTTGTTATTCTGCTTAAAACCTTTATTAGCTTCCCGTTGCTCCTCGGAGAAGGACGAAATCGCCTAACAAGGCCATAGCCTGCCCCATCTGGCCCCTACCTCTTCTGCCCACTGACTCGCCACCATGTTTGTCCCCTGGCTCTGACCATACATAACCACACCCTAACTACTCCACAAGGTCCCAGATCCCCAGAGTTCTCCCTCCTCCTGGCCTTTGCCGCAGCCTGACTAAAGGAACTAAGAAACAAGTTTTCATGTTCTCTTTCTGGGACGGTTCCGCTAAATCTCCTCTTACAGATTTTCACTGGCCCCCCAAGTCTGGGTGACATGACTCCTTAGCAAACAGCTTGGTCTCCTCACAGCATGAGCACACCGTACTGCGATAGTCAGCTCATTTATCTCCTCCAGTGTTCGGTAAACGGGAAATAGGGCATTTTTAGTCCCCTCCCGCCCCGTCCTGCGTTGGTCTGGTACATAATGTAGTGGACGTCTGTTTCCTTGTGTCTAAAATAAAGGAGTGGGGGACGGATGAGCTACTGGCGATAAGACTGATCGAATAATCCCAGTCCCAACTGTGCAGAAAACCCCTTGTCGGTTTCATTGCTGTGCTTCACGCCCTCTGATGACGTCACGAATGGGGAGCGCTGGAGACTACAGTTCCCATCAACCCTCGGGGTATCACGTGGTGTTTCGGTTCTCTCGCGGGTAGTGAGGACTGCATTTCCCAGCGCGCCCCGGGGTTTCCGGAGTCGTGGCTCCCTGTGGGGCTGCAGGAGCCTGGCTAGGCTGCAGGTAAAGGGGCCTGCTGTTGGGCTTCAGAGGGGACCCAGCGCCTGACTCATGCAAAAGCGCGGAGTTGCACGTGCCCTACTTTTGCAGCCGCCAGCCATTCCCGCAAATCCCCTTAAGTAATCAAGGAGCCTCTGGAACCGGCCCTTCACTGCCTGAGGCTAGAAACCAAATTAGGTTACGCCGAGCAGAGGCTGTGCCTCGGCCTCTCGGTCTGGTGTCGAGACAGGTGTATTTGTCGTGGGGAAAAGGGCTGTTTGTGGGGGCCGTGGGCGGCGCTGGCAAAGGCCCTCAATTCTCGCGTCTTTTGTCTCCGCAGCGGCGGATGTGGAGTGCGCTGCCAGGCGGGCGCCTGGTCCCCATGGCCACCCGCATCTGTTTGTCCCGGGGCAGCTCGGGATCCCGGGCGGTCGGTCCGGTGGAGGCCGCCATCCGCGCGAAGTTGGAGCAAGCCCTGAGCCCCGAGGTGCTGGAGCTGCGCAATGAGAGCGGCGGCCACGCCGTCCCTCCCGGCAGCGAGACGCACTTCCGCGTGGCCGTGGTGAGCTCCCGCTTCGAGGGAATGAGCCTCCTGCAGCGGCACCGGCTGATCCACGAGGTGCTGTCGGAGGAGCTGGCCGCGCCGGTTCACGCACTGGCCATCCGGGCACAGACCCCCGCCCAGTGGAGGGAGAACCCTCACTTGGGCACCAGCCCCCCCTGTCTTGGGGGAAGCAAGAAAACTCGAGGGACCCCTTCTCCCTAAGAGTCGGGGCAGGACCAGAATCTGAGGGGCTGGGTGAGAATGAACAGTTAAACTGCCCAGTGTGGTGGGTGATTCATAAGGACGAGGACCCTGGGACTCATCCTGCTGTCGGTGTATGTTCTCCGGAGATAACTCTTCGAAGGGCAGAGCTGACCCAACGAAAGGGCAGATCCCGCATTGCCTGCCCGGACCCTTTGGGAAGGGGATGCCTGGTTGTTTCGTGTTAAATTGTGACTGAGGAACTACACCGGTCCTGATGAATTGGAAACAGTCCCTATATTAAGAGCAATTACCGTACGAGGCGCGTTTCCTGTGTTCTTACTGCTTCTGAAATTGTTTCTGAAAGGAAAAACATCTGTAGGCCCAGGTGGCCAGGAGGGGCTTCCTGGGAGAAGTGACCTACTGCATTGGGTCTCTAAAGGGCAGTGGACCGGAAACCAGAAAGGAGAGGAAAGGTGTTTCCTGAGCAGAGGCCGAGACTGGACCCAGGCACTGGGTCGGTGGACAAAGCAGTGGGTATAGGCAGGGACACATTTGAACTTCGTCTTGGGGGAATGTTTGGTTTTTGACAACCTGTTTCCAAAAAGTTTGTTTATAAGAAAGACCTTTAACCACCAAAGCAATGAAAGAGGGTAAGAACCCTTTATTTAGCCTTCTGCTTATGAGTCTTCCAGACATCTTTTTTTTTTTTTTTTTTTTTTTCCTGGCAGTCCTGGAGATTGAGCTTTTGAGACAGGGTCTTGCTAAGTTGCAGAACTGCCCAGGCTGGGCTCCATTTGGCACTTTTCTTGCCTCAGCCTCTCCGAGTGCTAGACTAGTGCATAGTAATACAGGCGTGTGCCACCGTGCTGAGTTTAACATTTCGGAGAGGAGCTCAAGTAATGTCTGCATCAGTAACTTTCCAGTAGTCTCAGTGTGGAAATGACTGGAAAAGAAGGCCGTTTAAGCTGCCCTAACCATTTCTGACTAAAGAGCTTTGGCTGCATCTGGTTGGACAGAAGGCAGTCACTGAAGAATTGAGACAGCTTGGGGGTCAGTGATGCGGCAGTGATGTGTGAGTGGGCTGGCCCAGGAGAGCAGAGGCGCAGCTCAGCCAAAGTGACGGTGGAACCCTCCCTGCAGGAGTGGGAAGAAAGGGGCTGATGCAAGAACTACTGTCAAAGTCACACAGTGACTCAGCTGCACCCCAAGAAAGCTTATTTGCAATGTAGACTTGGGCCAGGGATGTAGCTCAGTAGAACGAACCTTCACCTGCCTCGGAAGCCTAAGGTCCTGAGTTTAATCCCCCCGTACCTCCAAAAAATGAAATGTAGGGCCGGGGATTTAGCTCAGTGGTTCTGCTGCCTGCCTTGCATGAGCAAGGTCCTGAGTTCAGTCCCGGGTACCGGAAAAAAAAAAAAAAAGAAATGTAGATTTGAGGCCTCCTCCCCCCAGCAGGACTTGATACCGTAAGTCAAGAACAGAGTCCGAGGCCTGTATATTTTAAAGGCAGACTAGAAGATCTGGACACAAGTTATGTTTTTGGGAGACGGGGTTTCACTGTGCTTTTCAGGCTGGTTTTGAACTCACTTTGGAGACCAGGTTGGCCTTGGACTTGCAGCAGTCCACCTACCTCAGCCTCCCAAGTGCTGGGATACCAGGCCTGTGCCACCATGCCTGGCTAGTTGGTTGTTTTTAAGAAACATTCGGAGTTTTTAAAGCTGGGAGACTTAGAGGGCCTCCACCTGTGGAAATGGAAGTCTCAGGGTGAGAGAGGCCAATTTAGGGAGTACATGCAACCCATCACATTATTCTCGCTTCCAGATTGAAGAGGAAGTTGCTTTTCACCACTGCTGTACCCTTGCAAGACTGTGAGAATGGATTTAGAAATATGAGAGGCAAAGAAACAGCCATTTCAGGTTTTAAGGATTGGTTTCCTTTTATTTTTCATCGGTATTTTTCATTTCATTTTTCACATCAAGAGTGAGATTTAGGGTTCCCCAGGAGAACAAGGGAAATGGTGGCTCTCCCTGGGGTGTTGGGAAGAGGCCTACGTCCAGCAGGTGAAGGTGAGGGAAGAGGGCACACACTCATACACAGCACTGGAGGAGAAGGCAGTCCTTTAGCAGACACCAGGGTTAAACAGTCCCCACCTGGTTCAGTTACAAAATGGGGGTGGCCACGGGTGGAGGGCACCAGACACAGCGTGAAGAGGGTGAATTTGGATTCTTTGTTATTTTCACTTTTTTCCTTTTACCTTTTTTTTTTTTTTTTTTTTTTTTTTTTTTTTTTTTTTTTTTTTTTTTTTTTTTTTTTGACATTTTACAAACGGCTAAAATCTATAACACATCACAGCTACGGTGGAGGTGGGAGGGCACCAACGAAAGCAGCCACACAGTAGGGTGGGATGGGCAGCTTCACCTACAGAGGCTATTGTGTGGGAGAGTGAGGCGGGGAAACAGGATTCTGGTCCCTGCATTAGGGGGTCTCTCGCTGCCCAACCTCTCCCCACTTTTAGAGGAGGTGCCGGGAGGCCCCTGCTTCCTGCCCTGCCCCAGCTCCTTGTGCTCTTTGACCTGCTGGTTTGTCCACATCCCTGGCCTCCTCCCCTCTCCTCCCCAGCCCGTGACTGACCTTGGCGGCGTGGAAGGAGCTGCGCGCTTCCTGTCTGCTGCAGCGAGGGCAGGAAGGCGGGCCAGGCCTTGTCCCGTGCCCCCACATCTGCCTAGACTGTGGCACTGTTACCAGCCTGGCCTGGGGCTTCTCCCTCCCAGGCCCAATGTAGAGCTTCAGGGAGGTTCCGTGGGAGGCAGGGTTGTGTGTGTGTCCCCTGAAATTACCCTTGGCTTATATTTGAGGACAGTACAGTGACACCGCCACCTCATGGCACCCACACACACACACACACACACACACACACAGTGTACACACACATTCACACAGTCTGCTGAGCTGCCTCAGAACTTCATATATAAATAAATAAGAATCAGCTAATTTCATAAAACTCAGGCTTCATATGTGTAGCCCAAGTTGAGGGGAAAGTGGAGACCAGAGGGCTGAGGTTTATTGCTGCTCCCCCAGCATCCAACAGGAAGCATTCGTGAGAGGCACAGAGGCCCTTCCCCCTGTAAGAAGTTCTTTTGGTCCGTGGTGTGTACCCAGGCCCCAGCCCCCAACGTGACTGCACACCCATGGTCTCCCAGGGCCTAAGCAGAGGGAAGGAGGGGAAGGCAGGGAGCAGCCCTGGAGCAGGGAAACAAGGGCCCCTCGCTAACACTGGGGGAGAGCAGGGTGGGCTCGGCCTTGTGTGCAAAGTCAAGGGTGGTGGGTGGGGAGTAGTGCGGCACCCAAAACGAAGTAAGAGCCTTCCCTATGGCCCTGCCCACGGGGTCACACATGCACACGCACACGCACGACAGCTAAGACACCGAAGGAGTGGGGAGTGAGGGTTCTGGGGCCAGGACGGCAAGGCAGGGAGGGGAGAGGAGGAGCTGTTGGTCTCACAGTGTGCCCGCCATCCCCACAGCCCTACAGCCCCTCACTGCAGCACCTGCCCCCGGGTCTCGGGCAGCTTCAGGGCCAGAGAGCTGCCAAGGGCAAGGGCAGCTGAGGCAAAGAGGATGGGGGCAGCCTTGGTGATTCCCACGAAGGATGTGAAGATGCTGATCCCCAGCACGGCTGCCAGCTTGCACAGGGCGTTCAGGAAGCCGAAGGCCGTGGTCCTGCTCAGACAGCCCCAGCGCCATGCGCAGAGCAGAGCCCAGGAGGGAAACAGGGAAAGATGGGTGGGCATGGAAGTGACGTTGGGGGAGAGGGAAGGACAGATCAGGGAGGGGAAGATACACGAGGAATACAGACCAATACAGACAAGGAGAGAGGAGACCCCCAAAAAGGGATTAATAGTTCAAACTGCAAGTAGTGATTACAAAAAAGCCTCCAGCTTCTAGAGGAGAAACACAAAACGTGTCCTCCTACCCCCAAAGATGTCCTCACAGCCTCTTGCTCACCCCACTTCTGCACTCTAAGCCCTAAACCTGCTGCCCTGCCCCCACCACACCCCAACTACCTCTTGTCTGAAGGGTAGAGTTCCACAGTCAGCACATCCAGCGCGTTCCAGGATGCAATGCTGACCCCTCCAAAAAGGCAGAGCAATGCAATCATGGCCGACTCGCTGTTCCCAAAAGACAGGAAGAAGCAGGACACACAGGACATCACGCTGGAGCCAGCTGCAGCCAAGAGAGGCAAGAGCATGAGCCCGGCTGCGGTGAGGCCCACGCAGGACAGAACGGTGGGACAACCCTGCACGAGACTTCCCAAGGGAGCCAAAAGGAAGGCTCTTCACTCATCCTCAACGTCCCTTGTAATCGTTTATTAATCAGTATTCAGTGCCAATGGTGGGCCAGGCACACACTGATCCATCAACCACCTGCAGGGCAGGTGCCTTCGCTTCCACGTTGCAGAAGACAGCTGGGCTAAGAAAGGGTGACGTGGCCAAAGGAGGCAGTGCGGCCAGACACAAACCTGTACCCGATGTGCTCGCTGTTCTGCCTAACTCCCATGCCCTCCAGAGAAGCTTCTACGCCTGGGTCTCCCCATTCTGCAGCACCCCCAACAAAACGAGAAAGAGGCTCAGCGCAGCCTCTTCCACAGCCCAAGGCGAGAAGCCTCCCGACGGCCCCCCAGTCGGCCCTGAGCTCCCACCGCCCGGCCTCCCCACTTACCGAGCATTCTGAGCCTGCCAATCTTGTCCATGAGCAAGGCGGACACGATGTTCCCCGGAAGCACAGCCAGCGTCCCCAGGAAGCTGACGAAGTACACCATGTAGGCGCCTTCGCCCGTGCCCGTCACGTCTAACTGGCAGCCCTCCTTGTTGTGCAGGAATGTGCTGTTCACCAGACGGCTGTTCACGAACTTGTACTCAAACAGGTCTGGGTGAAGGCCAGGACACAGGCAGTTACAGAAAATGGGAAAGGGCTCTCTCTCCACTTGTGGGGGTTCTCAGAATTATTCTGGGCACTTATTACAAAACACCAAAGAATATCACCATGGCAACTAGGAATTGGAAAGGCAAAATGACCATAACCTGTCAAACAATTTGGCTGTTTCCAAGGTTTCCCATTATGTCTCTCCTTCTTGTTCATTCTTTTTGTCCACCTAAGCTGATGATAAGCCATAGCAGTGCTATGAGTCTAGAAGATTTTTCTGAGAAAAATATTAAAAATAATGAGCTCTATCCACTTTCTTTTTTTTTTTTTTTCTTTCAGTACCGGGGATCAAACTCAGGACCTTGTGCTTGCGAGACAGGCGGCGGCACCACTGAGCAAAATCCCCAGCTCACCATTTTGTTTTCTTGCAAAGTAAAGCAAAAAAAGCCTACTCAGTATTCCATTTACAGGCGAGAAACCTCAGTCTAGCTCAGAAAATCAGCATTTCATATACATGTAGTTTGAGAAACACTGTTAAAGAAGTAGATTACTACAACCATTCCTAACCTTTCCTCCATCAAATATGCCTTTTACTGTTTTCTTCTTCCTAGGGACCCTGTTTCAAGTTATTTTCACCCTCTTCAAAAGCTTGTTTTCACTACTGCTCTGTTATTACTATTCCAGCCAAAGGCAACAAAACTTGATTCTTTTGTCAGATATTCCGTAGCCGAGAAATCTCCAGTGTCCCCTGCATGTCCCAGACTCTCAGACGTGGCCATCAGTGCCCATCCCACCTTCCCCAGGGATCCAGAGGCTCTCGGCGCGGAGACTACAGGCTGGTGCATGGGGAATGGTTCCTTCCCCGGCTGTTTGGGCTGAGCCCCTTCCCACCTTACCAGTGTTATAGAACACAGTGTTGACGAATGTGCAGTTGCGGAAGAATGTGTTGCTGGATGTGACGTCCTCAAAGTAACACTCCTCAAAGAGGGAATCTTCAAAGGACACAGACTTGAGACGCAGCCCAATGAACCTGAAAGCGCGGAATTATGAGACCCTGCCCTGTCGCCCTCACCCCCTCTCGTGTCTCCCCCCTCCGTAGAGAGCAACGGGAAGCTTGGCACTGAGGAGAAACCACAGAAATTGCCCCAAAGCACCCTGCCATGACCTCTGACTCTGACCAGTCTCCACATACTTGTCGTTGAAGTACTGCCCGCCTCGGTGGATCTGGTTTTCCAGGGTGAAGTTGAAAGTCACGTGCTCTACACGCTCCCCAGGGAACACCTTGGTGCGGGCGGCATAGTCCACCGCCTGCAGATGGCGGATCATGTCGGGAAACCAGACAGTCAGTCCGTAGTAGCTGGGGAATCGAGGGCAGTGGAATCAGACAGCGCAGATTCAACATTAGAACAGACTGCCCTCAGCGAGCCAGGGCACGCCTCACCTCGAACTCCTTCCTTCCCAGCTACTGTGCTTCTGGGGACTTCAGGGTCTTCTTGGCCATCTACCACACTCTTTGCTTTTTTGTTTTGTTTTGTCTTGTTATGTTTTGTGAGACAAGGTTTTCACTACGTAGCTCAGGCTGTCCACAAACCCACAGCGACCCTCCTGTTTCAGCCTCCCGAGTACTGCCGTATTCATTCTTAACTACCAAGCACTGGTTCTTCCCTCTGCTTAAAACTTTCCCAGCCCCCACTCTACAGCCTGTAACTCCCATTTACCTTTCAGAATGTGGGTCCCCAACCCCCAAATCCCAAAGGCACCATCTCCCCGCTTCGTAGCTGGATTCATCTACGTCGCCTGGGTCACATCTCCTCCATCCCAGCACAGAACAGAAGTTAATTCCGGTTGGGTACAAGTGTGCATTGAAAGAATGGGTGCAGCAGAGGAGCGGATGGAGCGCTGGGGGCATCTGAACAACACCCTTTCCTTCTTTTCCATGTGCCTCGTTCCCACTTTCCACACCTCCTCTCCCAGCCACGCACCACCAGGACCAGCACAGCACCCAGCCCAGTCACCCCTCACCTGAAGGACATGGTGAACCACACACCCATCATCATCAGAGTGATGCGTCGATATTCCGGGCCGAAGCAGGACAGGAAATTCCCCCAGACCTACAAGGAAGCCAGAGAGGCGCAGCGTGGCTGCACTGACAGCAGCAGACCCAGATCCCCACCTCCCCGCCCCGCCTGTCTTCACACAGCATCGCCGATTACCTGCCCCCCCAGGCTCAAGGCCCGGACCCCCCAGCGCTGGTACCAGGTCCCTGTGTCCGACTGGATCTCAATCAGTTCATCCTCCTGATGAATCGTCTTAATGTGAGTCACCTGAGGCAAGGAGAAGGCATGAGCGGGCGCACAGGCTGCGTTTGCCAAGCCCCGGGGGCCTGCCTCAGTTTCCCCACAGCAGCTATATCGCTGAGGTTGAGGGTGGTCTGAGGTGTGCAGGAAAGTAGGCGGGGGAGCTCCAGAAAAGACCACGTAGGGTCTGAGGCTGCGCCCCTGTGCGGCCTGGGTGGGAGGGAGGGCACAGCTTACTGAGAACACTCGTTCCGGGTGTCCCTTGGCGCGCATGTTGGTGTCATGAACCTGCTTCAGCACCATCCAGGCCTCGTCGTGCTTGCCATTCTAGAGCCACGGACAGAATCCCACGTTGCGGTCCGCCCTTCCAGACCCAGGTCCCAGAGCTCCTCCCTCCAACCTGGCTCTGGGGTCCCAGCCCGCCCACAGCCTCCCGCCCATGGCCTTGTATCAGCCCATGCTGGGCCAGCAGACGTGATGAGACCTGGGCGAGGTCTGCAGACGGGACTGCCCCGGGGACAAAGGCACACACGGGTCCTGGGGATTCCCTGATACAACGGGAAGGAAAACGGATGGGCAAGGGCGTAGGAACAGCATCCTAACCCTGCTGGACCCAGGTCCGGCTGGAGAGGAAGGAAGAAGAGGTAAGGACTTTTCCTGAGCTTGGAAGGCAGGGCCAGAGCCTAGACCCATGCCTGTGAATCTTGAGCCAACCCGTTGAACAGGTTCCTCACGTCTGGGGATGCAATCTCAGACAAAGAAGCGAGATCCAGCCCCAGCCCAGTACAGAGAGCCTTGAGGCAGGAAGGGAGCCAGACCCACAGCAGTGTCCAAGCACAGAGGCCCCGCGGCCCGCCCCGCCCCCCCTCCCCGCACGGCCCCATTCACCTCCAGGAAGAAGCGGGGGCTCTCAGGCTGTGTAGTCAGAGCTCCAATGGCAAACACAGAGGGAAAGGCGCACACGAGGACAAAGACCCTCCAGCTGTGGAACTGGTAAGCAGAACCCATCTGAAAACTCCACCCTGGCAGAGACAGAGTCACAGCATCAGCAGAGAAGCCGCGGGCCGGGGCTTGGAGCCCAGGAGCCCGGGAGAGAGGGCGAGGGCCGGGCTGGGGTGCACCTGGGCTGCTCACCGTAATGGGGAATGATGGCCCAGGCCACGGCTGCTGCGTACACGCCGCCAATCATCCAGAACATGCAGAGCCAGCTCAAATGCTCCCCGCGCTTCTCCCGGGCCAGGAACTCCGAGAAGTAGGAGAAGACAATGGGGATGGACCCCCCGATCCTGAAGGGCATTGGAAGAATTCAGCAGAGGAAATGCCCATCATCCTGATCCTGGTGCTCTGGACTCCCAAGTCCCTGCCACAACTTTCAGACATTTGGGTTTTGGGGGTTGTTTTTTTGTGTTTTTTGAGACAGGGTCTCACTATGTCGTTGAGAATGAACTGGAACTCACTATGCAGCCAGGGCTGGTCTCGAACTCACAGCGATCCTCCTGCCTCAGCCTCCCTAGTGCTGGGATTACAGGCGTGTGCCACCACGCCTGGTTCAGCCCTTCTTATTTTTTAAAACCAGGTCCCACTAAATCACTAAACTGCGCAGCCTGGACTCGATCTTGGGATCATCCTGTCTCACTCAGCCTTCCAGAGTGCTGGGTTTACAGGTATGTGCCTTTGTGCCTGGCCTCTTCCACAAACTTTTTTTTTTTAAGACAGGGTCTCACTATGTAGCTGAGGCTGGCCTCAAACTCATGGTGATCCTCCTGCCTCAGCTTCCCAAATGCCGGATTAACAGCATGGCACCATGCCTGGTCACTTCCATAGCTTTTTTTAAGAGGCGCCGTCTCATACATAATGCCCTATAAGCTTCTCTCACTACCAGCCATCAAGCACCCATCCTTAGGAAAGTGGGGAACAGGCAGGTGGGTCTCAGAGTAAGGGAAGGAATTAACATTGAATCCTGAAGGTGACTAGCGTTGGTGGCAAAGGATGACATTTGCAGAAAAGGGACAATCTCCAGACAACAAAGATGGGCAATGAATAGCATGCAGGAACAGGGCAGAAAAGGGCTTGGAGACAGCAGAGGGAGGGCCCGCAGGTGCCAGCGGAAACGGAGGTGTAGGGCGGGAAGGCTTCGGACTGTGACAATGTGGGTGTGCTGTCAAGTGCAGGAAATACGCAGCGTGGAGGCAGTAGCTCCAGGGCTCACCAGAGCCCAGGGGTGAGGCGGAGGCCCACCAGGGCCCCTTGTGGACAGACTAAGAAACAGGACTGCAGTGGGGTGGAGGCTCAGGAGCCGACCAGGCAAGGCCCTACGATCTGGACAGCACCAGACAGGCCCTGGACGGGAGAAACCTAAAGATGGTAGGGGAAGAAAGGAATTCACTCATTCCTTCCTTCAACTCCAACATATGTAAACATCTGATGTGCCAGCACCACGCGGGGCCCTAAAGATATAACAGTGTGCAAGGTGGAGGCCTGGCTTCGAAGGGCTGAATCTGTGGCTACTCACCCAACCCCGGAGAGCAGGCGGCAGAAGAGGAAAGTGCCGTAACCCTGGACGAAGGATGAGAAGAAGGCGAAAACGCTGTTGACTGAGAGCGAGATGAGCAGGCACTGTCTCCGACCCAGCCGATCAGCCAGACCCCCCCAGAGGAAGGCTCCCACCATCATGCCCAGGTACACAATGAGGCCTGGAGGGAAGAGCAGGACAGGCAGGGCTGTGAGCAGACGCGCCTCAGTCCTCCCATCCGCTGAGCGTCTGCAGGAGCGGAAACCGGCAGACTCGCTCGAGGACCTGGTGAACTGCTAGAAGCCAAGTCTGCCCAGAAATAAGAGCAGTGAGGACGGGATCTGCCTATACCCCCCACCCTCACTGCGCCTTCTCTGTCCTCCCTTAAAGCAGCAGGAAGGCTTTCTTTCATTTCTCAGGAAAGGGGCTCTGATTCCTTTGATCTTCCCTGAAAATTCCTCACACAAATCCATCCTTTACTCCTTCCGGTCCCAAGTCTTCCGGTCCTAAAACTCCCCAGTTCATTGTTTCCTTCATAAAATCAGAATTGTTATTGATCTTTAAAATCATCTACTCTGTAGAGGGTATGGTGGTGCACATCTGTAATCCCAGCACTCGGGAGGCTGAGGCAGGAGGGTCACCGTGACTTGGAGACCAGCCTGGACTACACAGTGAGTTCAAGACCACCCTGAACTACACAGAGAGACCTAAATAAATAAATAAAATACCTAAATAAATTAAGTCAGCTACTCTAAACTTTGCATTTTACCCATGCCTAAACTCAGCCTCAAGAAGAGACCTGTCCCAGGCACAACAGGGCCTCAGTCTTCTCTCAGTGCATCTAGGGGCTTCCCCCTTGGGTCCCCATCAGGAGAGGCCATCAGACACTACTCCTTGGTCCCTGAACACTCCCAAGTCTGGACAAGGGACTTGGGGTCCCTACCCTCACCACCCCAAACTGACCTTCCCATTTAGCCTAGGGAGTGTCCCTCTTTGGGAAAGGGGACAGGGTAGCAAGAGGGAAGGCCACGAGGAAACATTAAGCCCAGTGTAGTGGCACCTGCCTGAATCCCAGCACTGTAGGAGGCTGAGGCAGGAGGATGGCAAGTCTGAGCCCAGCCTGGATAACTTAGCAACTTAGTGGGACCCTGTCTCAACATACAAAAATGTTTAAAAGGGCTGGGGAAGTGGCTGAGAACAAAGGCGCTGGGGTTTTAATTTCAGTACCACACACACACACACACACACACACACACACACACACACACACACACGAGGAGAGAATTATTAAACAGTGACTCATCCCACCATGGCCACCTCCCAAAGAACTAACTAAGCCCAAGTCCCAGTCCAGCTTCTTTCCCCTCAACCCTTCTTTCACAGACAACTTCACTGACACAACCCAAAAGAGGTTGAGAGGGGACAGTGCACCCAAGAACCTGGGCCCTCTGGAAACAGCTTGGTGGCAGGGTCCGAGGGAGCCGTGGGAAGGATTAGAGCTGGTCCCAGCAGCAGTGCGGCTCCAGGTGTTTCCAGCCTGTGCAGCACAGGAAAGACTGCCCTGCCACGTCTTACCCAGCATGCCCTTGTTGGAGTCGGACAGGCACATGTCTTTCTCAGCACTGGGCAGCACGAAGCCCACCACGAAGACCTCCACGCCGTCGGCCATCAGCGCCAGGCCGAGCACAAAGTAGAGCGTCCACTGAAAGCGGCCGTGGCCGCACTCCCGCAGGATGGCTTCATACTGCTGGGCCAGCTCTTCCCGCTCCTTCCGCCGCTGCGCCTCCCCACGGCCCCCCGGAGGGCCTTCCCCGTCGCTCAAGCCCCCTCTGGCTCCAGCCAGGGCCGCCCCGTCTGCCATCCTCTCGCCTTTGCCCCCAGACTCTGCCCGGGGGATGCCCTGATATTCGCCCTCGTAGATCTCGTCCTCCTCATCGTGGCCCTCGGTGGCGTCGCTGGATGCGCCACCCTCCTCCTCGTCCTGGGCTGCTTCCCCGCGGTAATAGCCGTCGGCGGGGGCGGGGTAGTCGTCGTCATCTTCCTCCTCCTCGAAGCGAGAGTAGGATCTGCGGGAGTATTCATCCTGGACTCTGTCCAGGCCTTTCACCACCTTCTTGGCCGCATGCTTCTTGACTTCCTTGGCAATGTCTTTGGCCCCACGGATGAAAGCCGCCCGGTCTCGGAAGCCCTCTTCCATGATGGGGCTTTGAGGGGCTTCCCCAGATCCGGTTCACCCTCTGCCTCTTTTTCAGCTTTTTTGCTCGAGGGTAAAGTTATGTTCCAGTGTCTCTGGGCTCAAAATAAGAAAATAAACAGGACCTGGCCAGTGGGTGCCTCGGGGAGGGGAGGAAGGAGGGGAGGTCCGACCTACACCCAGTTCAGCAGGGTGAGCAGGGAAGGGAGACCCGGGCTGGGGATGGGAGGGGGAGGGGAGCCAGGTTGGTGGGCAGAAGCTGGAGAGCCAGGATAACACCGGAAAGGCTTCCTCCTTCTCTTCCAGGAACCTCTGGACACCTGGAAAAAGTAAGAGAGAGAAAGAGGGAGTTGTGAGACCTAAGATGATGAAGGCCAATAAAGAGACGCTCTCAACCCTCAGCCCCATCTGGACCGTGAAGCGAAGACGGACTCTTTGCTTCAGGCCACCATGCTGAAACAGGAATGATTATCTAGGCCAACTGTGGGGTATTCAGTCCCCTCTCTTTGACCTTGGAAGCCAGGCCCAACCACATTCACCCACCTGAGCCTTCCTAACCCCCTACCCTACATCAAGTTCAGGCCCCTTTCCTGAAAATTCCCTACTCTAGCACAGTCTGGGGTCCCTGGGTGCGGAGCTTGGGGAGGATGTATAGCAGGAAGCCACGCCCTCTCTCATGGACTGCCTTCAGTCCCCTGGTGACAGCCGACAGGTGACTTCCACAGTTCTTTCATGAGGTTCCAAGTTTATAGGCCTCCCACGGAAGATTTTCTCCCAACATAGCCTGGTGGGCAAACACAGAACCTCCAGTGTCAGATAGACTTGCTCTGACTTCCTCCTTAGCATTTACTTGCTAAGCAAACATGGGCATGTTCTAAACACCCAAGGCTCAGTTTCCTCATAGTCAAAATAAAAAAGGCAAAGTCAGGATTAAATGTTACAATGCCTCTAAGTTCCCGACCATAATACTTGAGATGTAAGTGACAAATGTCAGCTCTTACTATTGACATGACTGTAATACAGAGAAATGCCCTACACACCCTCACAGAGTTCCACAATAGCCATGTCCGGACCCTCTTTAGGGCAAACGTCAAGGAGGAGACATCAGAAAGGGACATTATCAAGGAGAATGCTGGTTCAGTGCAGCCGGGAGACAGAGCACCTAAACTGAAATCCCAAACTCTGCCACTTTCTAACAATTCTTAGGCAGGTTACTTAGTCTCTGTAAGCGCTTGTGTTTTTACATTGAAACTGAAGATAACTGGCCAGGTATGGCGGTGTTCACCTGTACTGCCAGCACTCTGGGGGCCTGAGGCTGGAGGATCACATGTTTACCCAGTCTGGGTAACTTAGGAGAGAGATTCTATCCCAAATGCAAATGGAAAAGGGGGTTGGAGACATTTCTCTGAGAAAGGGTGAGAATTTAATCTCACAGAAGACACCCTATAAATGTTAGCCTCTTCCTTCCTATATGTTGAAAAGTGTGAAAGAAGCAGGTCGTACTTATATGCTGTTACCCAATATTCTCCGAAGAACCCTCTGTGTTTAAACTAATTCCACGTTATCTCCCTTTAGACAAACCAAGGAAGACCCAAAACATGGAGACTTGGTGCCTGAGTAGGATGGACAAGAGGGAAAATCAAAAGCTAAGAAAGTGGTGATCGGCGGCCACCACCGTCCCTCAGAATGTCATGTATGGTCCCCCTTCCACCGGTGAGGGTGGGAATGGCAGTGACTTATCAGGAGAAAACCTTTTTTAAGGTAAGGGTCTAAAGTCTGCAGTCGTACCTCATTCCTCCAGGGCCTGCCTTCCTAATCCCCCTTAATCCTCTCTGCGTCTCTTCCAGAAGTCAAAGAAAAAGGGGTCCACAAATACCGCATTGCGTAGGAAGCTAGCGGAGAATAAAGGGTGTCTTGGGCCTCCCTCACCCACAAAAGACATTCTCCAAAGGGAGGCATAGGGTAACGTTCTCCTTCATAGACGCAGAAGATGCTTCAGGCAGAGATCAACCCCCTAAAATACGCTGCCTCCTGCTCCCACTCATCCAGGGCCTTCATGAATTCCCTCTCCCTCTCCCTCTCTCCCTCACTCTCTCTTGCCCTGATTGAAGAGGGTAAGTGACACGATGTGATTCACAGAGAAGCACTGGGCGGCACAGCCTTATGACTTCAGGACAAATGTAAGCGGTGGACCACAGTGACCCCTATGTCACCTCTTTTCTTCATGGTTCAGGGCGCAGCTGCCCTCCGTGAAAGAGAGGGAACTGTAGAATCCCCAGACCAAGGCAATCTTCATTCCTTTCTTTTCTTTCTCTACCAGGATCTCCCCCAAACCCAGCAGGAAGCAGATGGATCCACCAGGAGCCATCCCCTCTGTCTGCTGGCACTGTTTACCCCTGAGAGGTACATGTGATGTGGAGCAGGCTCCCACAGCACCGCAGGACACGATGGCTCAACAGCCAGCTCCCCCAGGGCCAGCAAGCCCAGGAGGGAGAGAAAGAAGACAAATTCTTTGCGCTGGTGAGGAAGTGGTGCTATTTTTAGTCCCCAAAGCAGCACAGAGTGGCTAAGCCTGTAGAAGAGAGACAACACTTGGCAAGGTGGAGGTTAAAGGAGACAAAATTCAGGTTTACAAGAGCTCTTTAAGGTGGCTGATGGGAAAAATATGCCCAGGAGATTTTCCTCAGATGGTGGGGGGACCCCTGAGCAAATGATTCCTCCTGGACAACTCGCCCTGATTTTGGGGTCACTCAGATCTCCAGCTCACCCTACCCCAGGTGACAAGGTCATTAAGAAGCAGTCACCTGTCAACACAGAGCGGGGGGTGGGGGGTGGGGGGGACAGAGCGCCCCTCCCCCTTACAGCTAACTGGTCAGGCTCAGCCCCCAAACAAGGACCCAGGAGGCTGCACCTCTCCTCCCCGCAGTCTACCCCTGGGTTAGAAAGATGGGAGCACCCACAGCTGGGGGGTGGTCAGCTGAGCATGCACACGGAGGAAGGCACACAGAGGAAGGCAGAGACGCGGAGACCTCCACACGCCCAGGCTTCGAGACCGCCCCTAGCAGCACTGGCAGCCATCCCCTAACCTCATGTTACTTCAGCCCCTGTGGAAGAGGCGAGCCCCAAGAATTCACTAACCCAGTCCTCCAGGCACCTCCCCACCCTTGGTCCTGCTGCTGGACCAGTGCCCACCGCGCCTGGCAGCCCCGCCATCCGTCGTGCCCCCAACACCGGGTCCCTCACCGTCCCGGTCTCCAGCGTTTGCATTCATTTCCCTGCCCCCCACACCGGGGTCCAGCCAGCCGACCGAGGCACCTGCACTCTGGCCACAGCCAAGGTCATTTATCCTTCGTGGGGGGCGGTAAGGTGAGGAGAAGGCTGGAGTTTGAGTCAGATCCTAACAACCCCTATGGGGTTAATCTCTGAGGAAGGATGTGGGGACTTGGCTAAGGTAAAGGAAAAAAATAAATAAATAAA